ATATTGCAGGTAACCAATTAAACTAATCTACCTTTATATCACATTAAGTCGGAATCCTGTGATCCAGTTATTCATGTTTAGTTAGCTTGTGATATAATGTTCAAATTACTATCTATCGTTACTGATATCCAATAGTTTTGCTTGTGACTTCCTAGATGATCTAACAAGTTTTAGGAGTCTCATTTTAATGTCAGGTAATTCAACATCATAATTGTTTTATTTTTGTAAAATTTGTAAAAGTTAAAAAAAAAAAGAAACAACCCAAATGGAACATAACAAATTATTTCTTAAATGTAAAGAATCATAATTCATAGAGAAGATAAATAAATCAATCTGAGTATAATTATATTATTAAAGTTGTAAGTATCACTGGGAAATAGTTGTAATATTGTTTGGATTCAGACAAAAAATAGTATGGTACATGACTAAGAATTTTCTGAATCTCTTGAAACATATATATATTGTAAGCTGAAGTTGATAGTTTGATAGTTATTCCAGAGTTCTTCCTTTGATATATGACTTTATGGATATTATTTGAAGTGGAGATCGATACGTTGTTGTTTACTTTTGAATGATATAAAATAAGGGTAATGGACTGTTTAAAAGTGGGTAAGTTAAAAGGGAAAATATATTCTAAGCATTTACGAAACATCATATCAACTGTAAATATGTGTGACATTCAGCTTACTTTAGGCTGCGTTTAGCCTGAAGGTACCTTGAAAGATGGGGAACTGTGAGGATCAATTGTGTGTGTGTGTGTGTGTTAGGTATTGTGGAAGACAATAACTGAAGTGTAGTAGGAAGCAATTAAATTAAGAGTCAACATATGAGGTGATGGGCTAGTGAGGTAGATATTTTACTATTGAACATCTTCATTCATAGTGCTATTAGTTTAGAACAATCTTATTGGATAATCCATTCTACTGATCAACGAGTGAGCACAAACCATTAGATCACTTTTATATGGTACTTTTAAATGTTTCAACAATGTATATAAAGGGTAAAATTTTACGTAAAGATTAATTCTTTGTAATCACAGGTTGGACAGTGTTTTAATATTCTTCTACTCAGTGAAACATAAGATTCTGCAAGTAACAGTAACATATATAATTACTTCCCGTATTATTAGCACAAATCCCATTTGATTCTCGTACTTTCAAAAGATAACCCTCCTTGAACTCATTTGACTTAATTTAATTTGGTTAACGAATATTGCGTTGCTAACAATACATTGATTGACTAAAAATATTAGCTTAGGAAAAATACAAATTTCTAGTGACCACACCCTGGTAAACAGTTTTCAAGCATCATGATATAATAACTCTTATCGATGAGAATTGTAAATTGTACAACTATTAACCGATTATGTAAACGTTACTATTTCTTTGAGAATAGTACTTTCAAAACTAAATGAAAAACAAGAAAGTTGCAATACATCATTAATAAATACACAAACTGAGATATTAAGGCTGCTGCTCATTCTTTCAAAATTAATGGTTTTCTCAATTACAAATACCTACCCGGAGATAACAGAAAATGGGACATTTCGCATGAAGATCATAAGAAAATTCAGGGGTATATGAAATTGTTGCTAATTGTAATAACCAACTTCTATAGATTTGAATGATCAGCTTTCCGCTGACAAAATTTCTAAAAAAAATCAAAAGTCTAATATCATTCTGATTTTGAAAGCTTGTCAAAAATATCCAAGACCACAATTTCTAAATGAGAAAACTTACAATAGATATCAGTGCTACACAGAGATGATAAGAAACTATTTCTATGATACAATGATATAATCAATATATTAAACGCCGAAACCCTATTTGTAACTGATCAAAGAACCAAATGTTAGATTATGTAAATATTTGTTTACTAATTATTTGCAAATAAAACTAGATTTTTTTAAAAAGATGTGTAAATGAATGAGTAATTTTTGGAAATATATTCTCTTATCTGAATGATTTAGTCATAAAACTTTTATTGCTTAACTCAACGACATTCTTTAAAGAAGATATTAGGATTTCTTCATAATGAACTAACACACTGTTCTGTAAAAATAGAGTTAAATTAGCTGTTATCCATAATCGTGCTGAAGTCGTTTATACATATATTTTGAATGTCTTCTCCCTTACTCTAATCTAATAATTATCTATCCTCAATGCCTAACGGATTGAAATGGGTTTTGTATGTCTATTGATTGATAAAAAAACACTTATGCAGCGTTTCCAAAAATTTTCTTGATATTTCCTTAGTCCGAGATTTTGACGTTTTCCTAGTTAACATAATATCTAGTGATATAAGCGAATATAAGTCGAAATGTTTAACAGATAATTGATGCTCGTATAAACAAAGAAAAGACTCGACAATTTCGAAAACTATTCCTATTACTAAGCATGAATGTGTAACTTTTAACTGTTCAAAATTAGGGTTTTTTTTACAAATCCTTACTTCAAAAATGAAGCCTCATTATTAGCGTAAACGTTGTTAAAATAAAATATGCGAGAAATATATCTGCTACTCAAATCCTTAATCTTGACTTCCTAGTCACCTTCTATATCCCCAGACTACTCCTACACTTAAGTCTCGAAAGAAAAGGAGTGAAGTAAGAATGGGAGGTTTATTTCAAGGTTCAAATATGTACAAAAACAGGGTTACTTACAGATCTCCGAATGACCCTGACTTCCTAAGTCTGTCGAAATACACATTTAGTAAAAAGATAAGCAATTATCGACTCAAAATTATGACATATCTCTCGTTCTTCTAAGTAATTCTGGAAAGTCTCTTTTTGAGGATGATTGGATGAAATCTTTTCAACCTTTTCTCTGTTAATGAGGGTTTTCAACAGTGTATGTAGTCTTTGTCACCTTTTGAAGGATCTGGCAACAAAAACCACTGAGACAACACCCACTGTACTTGGTAGGTCTAGAGGTTGGGTGTTCGTGCAAGGGATCGAAGCCCATGGGTTCTATTCCCGCTTGCGGGATCGTGGATGCACACTTCTCAGTCCAATACCACGAAGAAATGGGCATCCAGTGTTTTCGGGTTCCTAGTAGCAGTGTAACATATTTCGATCCATGATTTAAATAAAATCCAACCATCTCCACAACGCTTTACTACACTATTTACACAAACTATGTAGCCTTCAATATCATTTCATGCAATTCTATTCAATGAGTAGTTAGTATATTTTAACATCTTTTTTCCAATAAATGAGCCATCCAGATGGGAAAACAGTGCTACGAATAAGACACACTTAACTACAATTTATTGTGTATTTTTAGTGGAACTCAATTCACCAGGACGAAGTTTGTATACTTGACCTTTCAGTCGGATTGGTGTTGTTAAACTATTCAAGTTGAAATCGCGTGCACATATTTCGTTCACAGATTAATAAATGTAAAACAGTGAACTGTAGTGTTGAGTGCAAGCTGTTGATGAGTCTCGCTTTAAAAACCGAAACATTTGTGCTTTAATCTGGTTGATTCTAAAATTAGTTCTACAACACATAAACTATCAATCTCCACTAAAAATGCCATGTAATCAACAATTAAACATATATTTAATAATAAACCATATATATTTGTTTGTTTATATGTGAATCTATTATTTAAAAAAAATAGAACATTTGTCAACAAAGGTGAGGAAAAGATTAATAACGAAAAAATATTAGACCGATCGAATGAAAATATTGAGTATTTTGCTAATTCGATGAAAAGTAAACAACTTAAACTGATGTTTACAACTTCGTGATCAACATGATCGTCTCTACAATAGTAGTAAATCCGGTAATGAAAAAACGTCACAAACAAATAGTTATCTATACAAAAGAATGATGAATAAGTCTGTAAAAGAAATAACAATAGTAACAATAATACACAATAGAGTAGTTCTTATGTTTATATGCTGCATAACAGCAGATATTACTACTAATAATAGTAAACGTTGAGTTGATGCTGATATTTATCAAAACAAAAAAATCGGAAATGTGTATTTTGGGTAATGAACGTGACACAAATCCGTCCGTCAGCTGTTGTTATCTGATGTATATAGGTCTTTAATAATGTTTAGAAAAATTATAGAGCATTATTTGTTGCTTACTTCTTCTGTTTACATCAACATACCTAAATAAATTGGATCTAAAAAACAGACAACCGATGAAAAACAAGCAACTAATCACTAGTTCTTTACAAGGTATGTATGCTTAAAATTGAATAATATTGAAAACAACATAGAAGTCAGTAAGTAAACTAGAAAAGCATCGAATTTATCAAGGAAACAGATGAGAGACAACATTCCAGTTAGATTAAATGAATATAAAAAGAGGAAGGTAAAGGCAGAGCAAAAATACACTATGATATATGTGTACATATATTATATCTTTTTTTAAAAAAAAACAAGGATTCAGTTAACAGATTATTTTTGAAGCATTTCCATGGCTATGTATGACTATGAAGGTAAGAAAATCGATACCAACAAGAAATAAGAACAGTACAAAAGTAAAATTGGCAAAGGACTAAGTATGATTTCATCATCGTAATAAGGTCAACTATAAATGGAAGTTTTCATGAAAAAAGGCATAGTATTAATAGCATTGGTAGTAGTATGTTAATGAATGGTGATCCCAAAACCAAAAAAAGTATTTTCTATAATTCCATGAACATAAGAAATGAAGCACCCTTCTCTCACTCTCCTACAATCGTCACACAAAATGTCACACAGGAAACAAGACTAGAAATTATAGATGTTCGAATGAAATATGATCATGTTACTTCAAATCAATTAGGTTTTAGCAAAACAAAGACATGGGAATGAAATAAATTATTTGTTTTTGAGCAAAAATAATTCCAAGAAAGAGACCAACTTTATTTTATTAACATTAGTACTGATGGTTGAACAAAAAGGCATAGAACAATGAAACACAGTAGTAGTAGTAGTAGTAGTAGTAGTAGTAGTAGTAGTAGTAGTAGTAGTAGTAGTAGTAGTAGTAGTAGTAGTAGTAGTAGTAGTAGTAGTAGTAGTACAGAGAAAAAAAACTTAAAAAATCATAAACACTTTAAATAATCACAGAATGTTTACATTATCCTGATAATATTTGTGTTAATCTTGCATAAAATGTAAGAATGAACAAGCGATTTTATAGTGCTTGCATCACTAGATTTCATTTCACACTTAGTGAAAAAATATTCAACAATCTAATAACAGCTTATTAGTAGGAATATTAATGATAATATGTGCAATTAACTGTCACTATGTTCTGGTTACGCTTGACATAATAATGATGATGATTTCATTTTTCAAAAAAAAGAGAACATACATGACAAATAGTTCAACGAAAATAATAATAACAAAATGAGAGACACGAAAGACAAAGGAGTTTCACAATCGATTGAACAAAGAAATATAAAAACACTTCCTTCACAATATATATGGTTATGTACTTGTTATCAGTACGCTTTGTTTATGATAGAAAAAAAAGTTTGATGATATGTATTTTCGGTGTTATTAGTAGTCTATTGAAAATAAAATTTATATATATATATATATATAAGTAAATAGAAAATACCTCTTTTACAAAGTTGTGTATATATAGTTTTATCCAAGTAATAAGCAAATCAGTTAGTTAGTTGCGTAATTGAAATGATCGGTCATAATAGATACATACAGATGGACCGGCAAACACTCATAGACAGCATGAATCTATGATCCACCCCCTCCACTTGCGATCTCCAACAATGATGGATGTCGTTCAATAATTCGTGTGATTAAATCGTCAATATATTTACGCAGTTGTTCATTTGCATATTTCTCTTTGGATAATAATTCGACAACCTAAAATAATTAATGATAATAAATAAATATTTACAGATCAACACACGTAGGTAGATTCTAAACAACATGGAAAATGTTGAAGACATTAGCTGTTTTTCATAGGCCTTCCTACTACTGCATCAAGTTTCCATGGTATATATATATATATATATATATATATATATATATACAAAGCCAGTGAATCATGATTAGTGATAAATTAATTGTGAATACACCTCAATCCTATAGGTAAATCGAGGCCCAAATAGATTCAATAAAAACGTTTCGGACTGCGAAACTGAGTGACACAAGTCCAACTACATCATGGAGTACCAGCTTAATCAAGATAGTATTGATAAGTTTTGTTAATTTAAACGCTTTATTCGATTCCTAAGTTAAAAGCACGCAGCGACCTGAACTTAAGAGAAAAGGCGCAAAATAAACGAAGAACACTTTACTCCAAAGGTTCATTTTCGTAAAGAAAAACACGGGTATTCATAAATGTTAACATTTGTTAAATCAACATTATATTTTGGCCAATCCGCTAAAAGACATTATGCTACTGACCAATAGTAGCACGCCACGTTGATATTCTAGAAAGCTCCATCATGCTCTGATTGGCTAGGACTCTGGAGGCTCCGTTGCAGCTCTCGGAAAGCCGACTAAACAAGTAGACACACCATTCTAACGAGCACAGATTAGTACAGAGACCTAGGTCCAGAGTTTTTTGACAGCTGCTTTCAACCACTTGAAAGAATGAAGTATCTTATACCAACTTATTCTTCAAGTAAAGATTTCTGTACTCAGCTTGAAGCTACACTACTGTTGCTACCTGATAGTCCAAAACTTAAGTACGCGAATAGTAGTTTAAATTTATGACATACAGGTCGAGAGCTGAATGGTTTTTACCAGTAAACGACCCATAGCCTCCACAAGTGTCAACTGCTACAAAGTCATGTCCTCATTAACATATCGATAAAAAACCTACTGATTTGACAAAGACCTGCCTATTGATATCAGTATTGAGGTTGGACTACTCATTCGGTCGAGAATTTCATCCATTATATAACACCTTTTAAAGTCGTATAAAAGTGTCTGACCTAATTTATATTTATCTCAGATTAGAATTACTGGACAGTGATCAACATTAATATTGTAAACTTGAAGTACATTTTAAACGCACATATTTATTAGCGTCAGTTTTATTTACGAGTATTCATGTCGCTTTAACTGTAAGTTAAATATTTTGCACAAAGTACATACACAATATAATCCAGACACAGTGGACTCATTTGTTAGTTGCTATGTTGATTCACTGAAGATTCTTCCGTTGAAAATGTAGTTTAGAATAAATGAGTATATTCAGTCAGAATAACAACACATGATTTATCGACAAAACGCAATGCGGATGAAACCCGAATGGTACGTAGGAAACAATATTAAAAACTACTATTACACTAACATTTATTGGATTGAGCATAATAATATGAAATAAGGGTATTTTTTTAATACAATAATTAACTATTTTGTATATTGAAATTGCACACTAGTTAATTAGAATTAAAACATTATACTGTGTTTTGTCATTATTTTTTCTCATAAATAATACCTCTTAAAATAATACTTTGATTTATTTTGGAGGCACTAACTACAAATTTGTAATAAACTAATACGGTACAAATCAATAGTTCAATCAAACAGACTGTGACCCATTTTCCAACAGGATCCTACACTAAATAGTAGTAAATATACACATTTTTGTCTACTTAAATTTGAGCTACAATTTTCTAGACTGATGTTATTCAAGTGTTCTAGCCAAGGTGATTGGAGGTACGGATCTATTGTTTAGAAGTCAGATTTTTAACATCTTAGCTACTGCTCTACTTAAAAATTAAACTAACACATTCACTGGATATCTGAATGTGCAACACCCTAACTGTAACAGCTAATGATACTAGCCAATTGATCTAACCGAAGTAAGTGAAGCGTGGCTCTAACCTGAGACGACTGAAAGTCGAATGCCTTAACTATTAAGTCACCATTCCATTAGTTTATTAGTAATTGAAATAATAAAGCTAGTTAGTAATAGCAAATTAAGGTAGATGGTTGAACATAGAGGACCTTGAAAGATTCAAGACCATCTACTAGAACCTAGTACCAAAAAGTATATGCATTGATTATCATTCAGTGATTTCTACCTTTGAACACGAGATCATTATCATTTGACTGACTAGACAACAATTTAGGTAAAATTCCATTTTAAAAAAACCTCAGCCGATAATGTCATGAGTACAACACGTAAATTAACAAGTTATGACAGTGATCTGAATATATATATATATATATATATATAAAGAGCAAAGACTTTATCAAGCAAAACTTTATTGATTTTTTCTCCTTGTTTACCATCATCATCTTATTCGTTACAAAAGATAATAAGTTGAACAGTAACAGTGAAATGGCATCAACACATTAATTATTGAAACTATTTTACTATGCTTTGTTTAACTAATGAAGAGATGATTTTATAACACACAAGATGCAATGCTCTTCTCTTACATACATTTATATACATGCATATGTGTGTAAGACCATGTAGACGCACACAAATCAAGCATCACATGATCAATATGTACACATCATTCTGATCAATGAAGTGCATTATTGCACTATACAAATATATATATATATATATATATATATATATATATATATACATTGATTCGTAACATAACCAATATCCGAAGACAATTAATATTGAGTCATCTTTTCAACTATTCAGTTCAGTTATGAAAATAACGAGATAGCAGAAACACTTACAACTGTAAATATCCCGATTCCATAAGAGGTTAATCGCGTCCCAAATAGCTCAATACTGGTGACATCTCAGACTGTGAAACTAGATGATGCCGGCTCGAATCCTACAGGGACCATATGTTTCCTCAAGATTACAGGTATTCCTTACTGATGAGCGGTAACTAGCATGTGACCTAATTTCAGGGTTTTCTAGTGATTACTTCTGACCACAAAATAATTGCAACAAGCCTTAAATATCTTGCGAGTTCCTACACCAAAAATAAACGCCTAACAATTTATGGCGCTGAAAATAAATTTAATTTTTTAAGTATACTATCTACTGTCGATTGATCTGTAAGTTGATCGCACTATATGATATAATCTGATAGAAGTAAATGAAGACAGGAGTTATTATACATAGATAGTATTTGACTTTATCCGGTCACAAATATTATTCATTTATTTTAAACTTAATTGACTGTAAATAAGCATAAATTGATTGATTACAAAATTGATAGTAACAAAGAGTAAATTATTCTCTAGAAATGAGTAATATTATATTACGCTATGTGAAACAATAGATGAGTGGTTTTTAAAAAAAATATGATTTTTAACTCACAGGTTGTAGTTTCGACTCCCATACACACAGATACGCACACCACATACTTTACCAACCATCATATAAACAAATGTTGTTCAAAACTGAGTACACAAGATTGTATTAGATAAATTAGTTTCTTTCAGAAAAAGTTTGGTTAAAATTCAGTTGTCTGAGTTAAGGACTGCAACTGATCACTTTCTTTTAGTATATGCACATACTGGTCGGACTAGTCACAAGCATTTTGGGGGCACAGTTGGATAGTGACTAGCAGTAGAATTCAGACAGTGCGTTTCGTCTAATTTCGACCTTGTCAACCGAATGTACCTGTATCCTAGTGTTGACGTTCAAACTCCACGATTCCATTTATAGCCACATTGAACCTTTACATATGAGTAAACTAGGTTTATATATACGTATAAATCCAAATCCAATAAAAAATTAATTAAAACCATACCTCTTCTTTAGTACAATTATCTATTTCAGAAGCCCAACTTTTCTCTGATGAACGTATTAAGCTTTGACCTTGTTGAAGTGATTGTGTAAGTAATTCTTCTTGAGCTTCTTCCACTTGTTGTCGTAATATTTTATTTTCAGCAGTTAGTCGACGAACAATTTCTTGAACCTCTTGATAACGTGCTAACACTTCAGTTGAACCAGTGCTAGCTGAGGCTGCTGTAAGTGTACCCGAACCTGAACCGACTCGACTTCTTCGTTTACCACCCATAGAACCATTCAGCTCTTCTAATACCTAAATATAAACAGAAGCACATATATATAAATTATTGTTTGTAAATGTAATTTTTGATCTGCAGCCTGTATTCATAATAGAATGATCACAATTGGGATGTGGTGGATGCCAATCACAAGGTTGTTTGTATGTAGTGTGCAACGGGAATGTGGCATCAAAGTTGCAGCAATTGTCAGATGGAGTGAAGACACTCAGTGCATCGAAAGCATGGGATTAGCAGAAAATTTGGAGGCCACACCGAAAGATGCAAATGGACGATTAAAGACTATGTGTATGTATTCTGTAAATACTTCTCGTAATATATATGCATTCCTCCTGCCTATTACATTGTTTTACAGCGGTATTATTGAAAACGTCAGAGAATTAAGCAGCTTGTTTCGTACTAGTACAAGACTATACAGCAGTGCATAGTTAGCACCCTCCAGTGGTTGAACTCAGCCGTCACGTTTCGCTAAAAAATAATCAAACCATAGAATTGTCGGGCTGTCGTCAAATGGCACGACTTAAGCTTTTATTAATTTGCGAAATAGAGCGGCAACTATCCAATATTACGTATATTTTGAAGATTATCTGTATAGGGGGGATCTTGGGGAATAATAAATTATACTAAGATCACGAACCAGCCTAAGTTAGGCAACCGGTGAATACCAGGGAGTACTGAACATCTATTTCATCTTAACATGTGCATCCACAATCTTACCAATGATCAAACCTAGGACCTTCAGGTATCGCACTGACCATTTAACCATTAGACCTCTAAGCAAGCATTCAACAGCTGTCCAGTCAGTCCTCCAAGATTTTCAGTGGTCGTCTAATTTAAGTCATTTTGTTATCTCAGTAAAATTTCGAAAATTGTAAACAGAATCAATGAAATACGACTAAAGCTAAGTAAAAGCAGTTTCAGGATTATAAACAAATGTAAGATGTGTTAAATGCATCTTATACGACCAACTAATAGAAGAAAAGCATCATTATCAGCGATTAACTGGAAAAAACAAACCAAATATACACAATGCAATATTATTACTACTTATTCACAACTATAAGAAAAAGTGAAGTAGATGAGTTTAGAAGTATGTTGTATTCCTGAAAATATCAGAAGCCATAAAAAGGTAACAGTGTTATACTTCTCAACAGTGTATCCCAAATACTCCTATAAAAAGAAGCTATAAATTATTGGTGACTGAACATAATTCATAGATATATTTTAAAAAGAAACTAATACACAAATAGGAATAATATTTAGGTATTTTTCGACTTAACCACATCTTTATGCATATTATCGCATTTTCTTTTACCTGAGGTTCAGTGGGACCAATTACAAATTGAGTACAATCTAGTCATAATACATCCACGTATGTGTAGATTTCTGGAACCAGTAACAACCTTCATCTAATCTCACCCCCACAAAAAACTTCTGAATGAAATAAATTAAACGACAAGATTATTAAGTGAATTAGTTGAAATCCCCACTATCAGAACGAAAGAATTATATGTAGAGTTGGGTTTTAATAGTACATGATTTATTGCGAAATAATGGAGAAGACTTCAAGTACAAGTGGATTTTTTCGTGACATCGCATTTTTGAACCAGATTAGCTTAACTCTGTAGCTTCCATTATCACCATATTTATAAATTAAACTTTATATGAAGTAAGCACTGCTAGTATTGTCCAGAACAATTATTGAAATCTCTACAACTCAACCACTTAACTCTGAGAACACAACATCGAGTAGTCCAATAACTAACTACAATTTCATCACATAAATGTAGCTTTTGGTGTGTTGTTTTTTTTAGAAAAATTTAGTAATTCTTGTAGAAAAGAAAAATCAATATCAATTGTTATACAGCACCACCACTACTACTAATACTACTAACTTGATACCAATTACGGGTAGGCATAAGTTAAGTAGATCATTGTTTTCTCATGTACTTACACTCATTTTTAGTACTTTAAGAAAAAAAACTTCCCACAGAAAAATGAATTAGAAAATTCAGAGCATGATTTTTTTCCTCTCACTATTAAAATTATTATTATTATCACTATTCAATCCGTACAATATACATACTTTCTTTTTATTCACTACAACTCAATATACATAGACTACATGTTTTCAATTCTTAATGTGTTTTTTTTATTTTGCACATAAACCGTGAAGATTTGTTTGTTTATTACTCACATCACAATACAAAACTTTTTTTATATAAGTACATAATACTACATATTTTCCCTAGTACATGATTATTGCATTTTTTCTTAATACAATTAGTGTATGATACATTTATCCCTGATTGACTAAATTTGGTGTATGATTGGGAACTTAATGCATCAAATTCAAGACTTTTAGAAATCGTGCGACGAGTACCTAACAATGAACTTTGTGTTATATCAAGATTTGATTAAAGTTGTGGATTTGTAAATAATAGACGACAATCTTGTGACTGTACTGGTTAAAAACCTTGAAAGTCTTACCAGTCGATCACAGGCTGGATGGATGTATAACAGTTGAGGAATACTATACTAGGACAAAGCAGCTGGCTAGTGCACTCTGGTTTTGTTGACAGTGACTTCATTGGTCTCAATAAAGTTGAATCAACATGTGCCATTTAAACCTTCCTCTTCCAATGTATGCACACTGATGCAGATAGAACAACAGACGGATAAGACTATGTATTTGTAAAATTTTGATATCAAGGTATGTGTCTAAAACATATATTCAAAACTCCATAATCTCAAAATGAAGTGATCATCCTCTCAATCCTTAAAAAGGGACTAACTAATTTATATCCATACATATGACAAACATTTTGAACTGCTGAAACGCAAACTAATGCTCAAAAGATGACAGAACCTTATACTTGCAGAGACATTTATGTATCCGAATAGTCATGTAAGTGCTACTGGCGAAACGGCAGATGAGATTCATTCAATGGATGGTAAAAGCCATAAATCCTCAAGCTGAACTGAGCAGTCTTTGAGGAAATCATGATGTTAATTTGACTGTAAACATCGGTTTTATAACGTATCCGTGATGGCACATGTGTTAGATCCTTTAAAATCATCCCGAGCTCGGATATTTGATGATTCTCTGTGCTCAAACATCGAATTCTCAGAAGAATTGCTGATATCCGGTGACAATACCGATGTTTGATAGTGTTCATTCTGACAAACTAACAATTCAATTAGTATCACCATCTTAAAACACCGAATTCGGTGGATTAGTCATGTTTTACTAATCAATTTGTGATATGGTACCACAATCTCCCGATGTCCTAGGTGAGAATCGTTTTATTATTAACAAATCTGAACTCCATCACAGTTACGACTTCTCACTCAAACTTGAGGAACATCTTGAAGTAATTAATTGTGACTGGCGAAGTTCAGACGAATACAGTCTAAAAAATAAGAAATTATTCTTCATAAAAACCATTCAAATAATCCTTTATTTATTTAATTATTATCAGAAATCATAACGAAAACAATCAAGTATTAATTAAACCCAAGTAAGTAACAACTTACATGTACCGCATGATCACGATCTTTTCGAAGAACTTCCATTTCTCTAGTATGTTTAGTCGTTAATGATTTTAATTCTTCTTGAAAACTACGTGCTTGTTCTTGTGATTCAGTTAATTGTTCATTGGTTCTTCGAAGATCCTAAACACCATGGCGAGATGGATATTTTTAGAGCAGAAATAAATAAGACAAAAGTTATAAAACTTATAAGTAAAAATATAAACAGATATGCATTGAAATTGTGTGTGTTTTCATATATGAATATAAACCGGAAATAAAAACGATATGAAATGTTCACTTATATCAGTGTATGTTAGCATTCATGGACATAAATTCAATCAAGAGAAAAACGTCAAAATCATGAAACGACGAAATACAAAGAATCCTAGAGGATTTTCTGTAAGCATGGGTATTTAGGTAAATTTTTAGTTATCAATAGAAATATCAACACAGACCCTATTTACGAACCTATACAGTAAATGTCAACCACCCATGCGGTCAGAGGTGAAAAGAAAAAATAAACTTTCGACAGGAATAAAAAGATAAATAAAGCGGGTGTGAGAAAGGTATCGTGGATTGACTTAATTTAGAACTGTACACCACTGGATCCCGGCTCAGTGATCTAGAGTTAAAGCGTTTGCACGAGAGACTGAAGGTTCTGGCCTAGATCCTCGGTTGTGAATTCGTGGATGTGCACTGCTGAACTTCTGTGGTTGGACGAAACGGTCATCCAGTAATTCCATGTTTTCAATGGTTATTTGACTTAAATTGATTCTTGATATAAACTATATATATATATATATATATATATATATATATACTGACCTATATCTGATCAACCCATAGAAACTACTTTTAGAACATATTTCTTTTTCAGCAAAGATAAAAGCATAAGGCATCTTAATTTTACTAGACTCTGTGAACATTAGTTCAGTGGCCTATGTTCCATGAGGGGTAAAAGACTTGCCTAAGTGGAAACATTAGATATTTTTAAAAGAAACAACTTGAATTTAAGAATGTAAATCATTGAATCCAAATTCAGTGATCGCAGTATGCTGTGCTGATATTCTAGAAAGCTTCATCAGATTTTGACTGAGTGGGGACTCTTCGGCTCCTTTGTGTTTATCAAAAACCATTCCAACAGACCTAAAATTCCCGGATTCGACCCACGGTGATATTGTGAATACGCAATGTGGAGAATCCCATACTAAGACGAAACAACTTCCCGGTACTTTATGGTTTCTAGTAATTTTCTCACTAAAGTTAATTCATGATGCAAAATGAAAACAATCTCCACAAACTCATGCATACTGAAACAATTTGTTCGGATATTATTCATGTTCTTTATATTTAAATGTGTTAGAAACAATAACCTGAGGAACAATAGAAAGACGCACATAAGCGCACATGTACAACAATCAAAAACAGATTGCCTAAAAGAAAACAAATGGATTTAAGGTTATCGTAACCACTCATTGTCTTTGGACTTTATCTACAAAGATATACGAACTTCTTTCGACAATTATTCTCTCACACGTCTTTTGTTTGACTGAAGAGTGTTTGTAAGCAGCTAACTATACTATTTGTAAAGATTTGTAATTTCGCCCGTTTCTGGCTGCAGTTAGCCGACTTCTACAAATATCTGTGCCCAATCTGAACGGATCGTCTCGATACTGTCTTCTGTTACACGTTTTTAGTTTATTTGTATCATGGCTAGCAGTGAAGTCTATAATATGACCTTTGTTCTAGTTGAGACTTGTTGGTAGGATGAAATTATCCTACTGTTATTGTTCAAACAGAGACTTGAATGTTAACATGTTATTCATTAAGCTACTAAGTTCAGATACCTATTAACTAGTTCAATGGGTATGAAGAGTTCTAAATAAGACGAAACGCGTCAAAGATCCTACAGCCAGCCACAATCCAAGTCAATAAGTCACTCACTCTATTTACAAACTATTCGTCTTTTCGTAGATGTTGTAGTATATAGATTTAGTAAAGATTTAAAGACTCAGATTTAGTCTACAATGCTTTTTTTTTAAAGGATTATGCAGTAGTTCCTCGTTCTTCCGAGCATAAGAGTAAGCGACACTGGCATAACAAATGGTGATGGGGATTGTGGGATAAAGAAAGACATAACAACTGCCAACGGGATCAATTTACCAGTTTCAGTTTTTCAGCATAACTATGTGGTCCCAGTTATAACTTCGTTGTCAGTTCAACCTACCCCTAAAACTGTTCAGTTATAAATATACTTCTGCTTTCTTTTATCAAGTCGCTACTACAACAAATAACACAGTTACTAGTATAAGAACATGTTAATTTCAGAAGTAAAATCAATGCTACAGTTTAATGAAGATGTGTTAATTAGATCTCATTTAATGCTCACTGATGCATTGAAGAAATATATGCTCAGACAATCGAATCCGGAATCGCAATCAAAAATTATAGATACGTTAAACGAAGTAACTGATACATTTCCTGCAGTAATAAAGAACAGTTTTGTGATTGAGGAAAAGGTCTACAAATTCTGGTGATATCATATCAGATGTTGCTTATTCTCACAATGTATCTGTTTGTAGTGAAAACCTTGGTCAGTATGAAGCATAAGTTCTCAATGGGTCCAAATCCAACTATATTTCCGATGGTATGATGTTTATTCTCACAATCCATTCACTTCTAGTCAATGAGAGAAATATGTTCTAAAAAAGTCACATTCTGATCAAATTCCAGATATTATTGTAGCAGATGGTGAGTGCTCTCACACCTCAAATATATCACGTAGAATCCCTACCTAATGCTATGATGAATCAATTGAGACAACAAGTGTTCACGAAACAGTCTCGAAACCAGAATGCCCAAGAGTGATGTCGTTCACACAATCGGAAAATTTAAATTTAGTCCCAAAGTCTGACAGTTCGACATTCGGGGTAATGCTCAATGCTTGTAATGGTAGAAATGAAGATTTGTTTGAGATGAAAGTCTCTGAACCAGACTGGGTCAAAGGTTCATGCTTACTTCAGGAAGCTGAGGTCAAATAAAGATAAGAAGTGTGCCAGTTTTACTTCTCCAAAAATTTTAAATACGATCAATTTGCAAAGACTACCCAGTGTTTTGGGAAAATTTCTGATGAGTAGTTAACAAATTTCAGTATTTCTTACAGTTATCTAAAAATAATTAACGCATCTGATGATATTTATTTTGTTTATTCGGACAAATTGAATGTCACATACAAAAAGGTAAACCTTGTTTCAGTACATCAAAGTCAGTCCAATTGCAATATCCCTGTATGTAGAAATGTCCCATTCAAATGTTTTGAGAACAAAGAGAGCCTACATGAATCACATGCATTTTTACTGACAAGTCTAAATGTAAAATGTCCTTATTCATATAATGGACGGAATAATGAACAGAAAGGGAAAAATCACCATGTATAATATTATCCTTACAAGTCAAGATCATACGCTCCAATACTCTCATATAAAGAAGGTATGAGTAGTGTTAAGACAGTTCAGGTCACATTATTTGTAACGTAGTTATATGAAGATCCAACATTGTTTCGCAGGGGAGGGAGAATCATATATGTATTGAACGAAAGAGCAGAGCATAAATTAGGTCAATTTCTTAAATGAAGCTGGAAAAACCCATTGAGACCTAGGAAACGACTACGCGACCGGCAAGGAAGATCCTAGCGTGTACGATAAAGAACAACAACCCCTCCAATGGACTCTCCAGGGAAAACTTATTCCTGCGTATTCCATCAAGAAAGAAGAAAAGGTTATGACGGAACGAAAAGGTAAGATTGCATTCTTTTGCTCATTATAATTTTTGTTCAACATCGTACGTACGTACAGCAGTTCGAGTTGCCATATCACATTAGCACAGAGGTGTAATGATTACTCAGTGTAGTGTTTGTTTTGGTTTCCAATATGATATTTTATTCGATATAACATTAGTTTATTTGAGAGTGATGTTTGTTGGAGATATGATATACTTGAATTACATTAAAATGAACTATGCTCAACATGATATGCAGCATGTTATTTGTTGTAACTCTGGGTATTTTTCATATATGTGATTTTATTCTAATTATTAATTAAAATAAGTGTATAACTAACGTCTGAGTGTATTTTCGACTAAGGTCGTCATCGTGATTTGGGGTTAATAAATCTTCACTTGAACCAGTCTTTGTGTTCTTACTTTCCTGTCGTGGGAATTGCGGTGGTTAATCGTTCTTTCAAACATAAGAATACGAGACGCGGACATAGCAGATTACCTATACACTAACCGACTGACAGCATTGAAACATATATATATTTTAGTAGATCGACTGATGGATCAAATACAAAACTTTGTCAGATCATATTCAATATAAAAAAAGTAGCAAATCTGATTTGTATATAAAATTTACCATTTCCAATTGATATCGAAAAGGAATTGAAAAATCAACTGGAAATTATTAACCCCTTTTTACAAATCAGTTTTACGCTACTCTTAGACAATCACGTGTCCATAACTTCTTCTGATGAAATTCTACCCATTAGATTCACGTGAAGTGAATTGCTTGTTTTTACGAAAGAGGATATCGGGTACGAATGTAGATCGTTTACCTAAGATTTTAGAAAACCCGAGTTTAAACTAATGATATACAATGAGTAGAGAATTCTACAAGTGAATAACGTATGGATATAATTGGTAAAGATGGCAGTCTCTTGACATTGTAGCGTTAATAGTTCTTCGAGAACCATCTACCTCAGTTTAAACGTCCGAGTAGTGTCCCAGCTCTCACATACACAAGTAGTGATGATAATAATCCAGGGTACGTTATGATATAATTATTTAGTACTCAAACAAATTCGTCATTTAAAAATCGCTACCAAAGAAATATCATAATATTTACAGTACATAAATATTAACTTAAATTAATAAAGATATTCCATCAACCTACAATAATATACGTTTGGTTGTCTGCTTTGATACGAGCTGACTGAACACGTAATTCGGAACATTCACTTTCTAAAGAAATAATCCGAGCACGTAACGTTTCTGATTCTTGAGTATGTTCTCGCGAAGAGCGTGACTAAAAAAGTGTTTGGACAGAAAAGAAAAAAAGTATGGAGATATCGATGAATCATGAAATATGTTATGGAAAAGAGCTTGACAGTCACTTGAAAAAAGTTCCAACCGATATGTAAATAGATTTTAAGTAAAACTTCGATAAAATGTAGTTCCGTATTTGACGCTTGAAAATTAAACCATAAAAACCCACATCTTCAAATGAAACCACAATGATACCATAACATGGTTGATGTTATCCACAACGTTCCAAACGTTCAATAAGTATATGGTGTATCCAGCATTTTCAGTCAAATTTATTTTCATTTAGTGAGTGAGTGCTGTATATCAGAATATAACTTTTATTAAAAATTTTAGTTCCACTAGATGTGGGGGTAAAAGTATGGTATATAGGGAAAAGCTAATCAAGATCGAGAAAACTGTCAGCTTTTTGTGAGAAATTCAAATACCATATATGATGAGCAGTAGAAATGTCGTTATACAATGCTCAAAATGTTAAAAGTCATAGCGGTAAATTAGTTTTTTCAACCATAAAGTAAAATTGATAGTGTTTAATGTACCGAAGGTTGAACTTTTTCTAATATATATTGTTTACAACAGGCAAACATTGACACTATTTTTAAGTAGTAACCCCAAACCCTTAATACTGAATCAAACCTAAACATGGTGGCACTTCATCTAATAAACGAACTAAAATAGCGCTTCAGGAATTTTTAAGCAAAATTCATTCATCCATATGGCCTACAGAGCATTTTCGAATGATAGCTGTTGTCAGTTAGTGATGAAAACCCCAACTGTTAGCTCCTTATCCTAATCCTCATTAGGAATAATATCGTGACTCTTGCAAATCTATTTAGGTACTTATAAGGGTTCGAGAAGATGGACACTTTATATCCATAAAGACAGATTTATGTCATCGTTTCTTCAATCTGTAGGCAGAGTAACCTGTAGAGAACTTTAATAGAATTATTTAGAAAGTAAAACCCATTTAAACTTTGCAATATTAGGACTTTGTTTTCCAGAAACTATCTTATTTATAAAAGTTGCTTTCTGATTAGCTAAAGAACTGGCTGAAAATCCGTCGTGGTCTGTTTAAGCCCTTTCCTATATCATACTATTACCGATTTGTATTTTTCATCTAGGACCTTACCTTACCTGAAGTTGCGTTACACATTAACGTGTTCATAGCAGACAAATGCAAATAATTCCAAACAATTGAAATGAAATCTTTAGTGAAGATAACCACTCGAAAATACAAAAATCATCCACAAACTGAACAGAAAGATGGTCGCAAATGTTGGGTACAAAATACTTATTTCAAAGTCGCCTGGATTTAAGTAGAGTTGTACACAAGAAATTTGTTTTTGAGAAAAAGTGGAGATTTTTTGACAGAAATTAAAGATAACAGGGATTGTGTCTGACATAAGTTTGTCCAAATTGCAACCGGATTGCAGTAAAATCACTAGTAATGCTCTAACTGATATACTTCCAAAAACCTCAACACAGGTGAACACAAACAAAATAATTAGTAGCTGTTAGTATAAATATGCACAACATTACTGATTATCTTGGAAAACATATCTGGATTGTAATTACAGTAAAGTGTACATAAAACTCATACCCAAAATTTTAAAGATCAGCGAAGCCGTCATTTTAGACAAAACAATGCTATCAAATAAACTCTACTTGGCAATAAAACAAAATATACCGAAAAAATGGACAAACAGTTAATATTAACGATCAACTCATAGAAAATCATAGATGAGTACTCACTTCAATTACAGTATACAGAATGGAAAAATATGCCACTTATTATAGGTACTGATTTTTAGTGGACTCCTTTTAACATCTCACTGGTCATAATGCGCACCACTTATATAAGAATAAAAACACTGCAACTCAAAAATCTCCCAATTCAAACAAAACACGACTGAAGCAAAAAGTCTCTTGTCAATGGGGTAGGTGTGAAACCAATAATATGTCTCGTCAGAAAAATATTTAGAGATGTCATAAAAGTTGAATGGTGAACGTCCAAGTGAACTATAGTTGTCACCTACTCCTTCAGCTACCTTAACTGACAGTATGAGGTTGTGGAGACAGATTTTTATTGAAATCACAAACCCCATACCGATAATTATCACATGCGTACTACTAGTGACTATCTTCTAGAGGAAAGCTCCAGAATCCTAGTGAGAAGCTGTAACAAGTGGAGTTCAATAGTGTCGCGTATGAGGGAAGTACCCAGAGAAAACAATAGAGGGTGGTTGTGTAATATCGTGGATAGACTGAAGTTAGAACTGTGCATGATTGGACCACAGCTCAGTGGTTTAGAAGTTGAAAGTTCGTGAACGGGGCAAGCCATGAGTTCGAATCCCAGTCGCGAAACCTCAGACAAGCACTGCTGAGTCCTATACTTAGACAAATCGGCTGTCCAGTACATACAGGTTTTCAATGGTTGTTTAACTCAGATCGGTTCGTGACAACAATAATATTCTGAGTTGTCGTGTACTGCAATGTTGATAAATATTGACACACGTAAAAAAGTGAAGGCCTGTGAGAAACCCCACGTAGACCATCAAACATAACTGATAACAGCTAAAGGCTAGATAGGGAAGTAACCGGATAGCTATCTTGATAAAAATAGCCCACGTTGTATATATGTGATAATCACTAGAGTACTCAATGTACAATTGGACAAAATATATAAGTAATAACAACCACTTTACTTCAACAATATGCCTATATCATAATCATAAAACGAAATTTCTCCTACAAATAATTGTTTTTAGAGAGAGAGAAAATAACCAGCCTAAATTTCTTTTCTTTTATGATCATCATTATCCAATAATTTGGGTGTAAAATGATGATTACTACTGGCAACCAGAACCAAAAGTCTTCCATGCAATGAGTAAACAAATAGAATAACAATAGGCGAACTATGTAAATATGTCACATGAATCCATCATCTGTTGCATACACATACTAAGAAGCTCCTACAAACACACATGCATACATACACACCATATACGTATACATATATACAACTACATACATACCAATTGCATGACATAAACACTTAATGCTGAGGAGTACACTATTGGTGGAAATATTCCAAAATGTAGGAAAAATGATCTTATACACACGAATAATCCTTACTATTTTCATAATTAGCCACTATATTAACATCAAACATTGCTACATTTGAATGTAGGACAATGAGTATGAAGGTCTTATTTATTCACTCGTTTACCAGGTACTCATTTGTGTACTTGGCTTCGAATACGACTTTATATATGAAGGCTAATGATACTGTCTGACTGTCTAAGCCAAAGTAACGAAAATAGAGGGGGTTCCAACTTGCAACTTTACAGCTAAAAGTTGAACGCCTTTTAACCACTGACCCACCATCGTTGCTCAGTAGTAACCTAAAGGCAATCCATTCACAAAATAAGGTGTAATTGATCTTTAAACTGAATCATTTCAAGGATATATGCAAACGATTGAGAAAGAGTCCGACATATTAAAATGAAACAATCAGTATCCAAAGCTCATGTATTGATTGCCATATGGAAGTCACGATTAGAAATATTAATTAGATAATGTATGTTGTCAACTAAACTTCTTGGTAAAAAGATATAAGAATAAAAAGTTTAACTATGTAACTTGTAGGTATCATTATGCAAGGTTTGATTGGATAATTTAAAATAGAAAAAAGCATCGGATTGATGGGTTGTTTGTGATCATGGAATATGTATGACGAAATCTTTGCACGAATTCGAAAAGGTCGTTCAGCTTTTGCCAAATTATGTTACCCATGGCGAAGGTGATATATCCGTCTATCAATCGAAGGACGAGTAAACTGAGCAGCAGTTCGTTCTGTTCTACTTTACGGCTGTAAAACATGGTCATTAAGGGTAGAGAAAACCCGTAAATTACTAGTATTTGATCACAGATGTCTTAGAAATATTGCCAGAATCTGCTGAGTTCACCGGGTAAGTAATAGAGAGGTTAGACGCAGGGTATTAGGGAATAACGGTAAATCAGTTGATGAGATGGTTGAGCCACGTGTTACGTATCCCTGAATACCGATTACCACGATGCGCAATACTGGCTAGTGTTGGACACGGTTGGAAGAAAGCTCGAGGCTGCCAAACCAAAACGTGGCATCAGTCTATGAAGTCGCTAACTTCTAGTCTGAGCCATGTTGGAAGATGCAGACTATTTGGTTGGGGTCCGCGTGACTATCGTTATCAACGGTTGAAGACTCTGGGTGACATGGCTTAGAATCGATCATAATTGCGTGGGTATATACACTCTTTGTCTTCCCTTAAACCGTGAGATAAGAATTACTCTATACCTTTCTTTCTACGAACTAATTCTCCCTTCCTGTATTATATCCTTATACACAATCTTTCTTTTATATATCACTACTATTCGTGTTAATCTTGTTGCGCTAATGAGGTGTTGCAGCTTGGACTGGTGCATATATGTGCCTGGTCCTACGTTTTAAATGACTGACGGAATATAGAATAAAAGTTTCTTTTAAAAAGATGAATTGTTAACATTTTACCATTTAGTGTGGGTGATTTCTTGAGAAAAAAATAAATATTACTAATATACTATTTTATAATCATGTTGAGGTATCTGTTTTACTAAGGAGATAAAGAAGAAACCAATATCGACTAACCAAAATTGATTGCATATGCTGTCGTTCAGCTTCTAATGCACGGCTCGACCTTGCATCAGCCTCTTTAAGACGTTCTTCTAAAACAGTGATTTGTGCAGTTAAACGAGCATTCTCTTCACGTAGACGATCTAAGCGCGTTTCACTTTCAGTATTTCTGTTGATTTTTAGACCTTCTACACGTTCTTCCATTCGGCGCATTTGATCCTTTAATTCAAAAGTGAAATTGTGAAAAAGATTTAGATGTAGAGAGAAGATAAATTCAAGTAGCATGGGACCATTTGTGAAAGTGAGAAATGGTGAAATATATAAATGGTAAGCAGAAAATAAATGAACAAAGTTAATTACAGTTAAATGTTACGCAATACTTCATCACCTGAGTGTATTGGAACCACCAATTGAACAATGCTGAGGTTAGACAAAGTGTACTAGGTAAAAAATTGGTTGGTAATATGCTGTGAACCTTCATCAACTGAAGTGGTCGGAACATGTATCACACTCCCAACCATCATCTACGTAGATGTACGATGTTATCTTGGTGTAGAGGTAGGTTGGAAGAAAGCTAGGAGCGATCAAGCCAAGACATAACATTTGTCCGTGAAGACAGCAACTGTTTGACTGAGCCGTGATGGTAGGTGCAAACTAGCAAGTTGCCGTCTGTGCAGTCGTCGTAACCAATAGTTTGAGACGTTGAATGATATGGAACAGAATCTGTGCGAATTTTACACAGAAGCACTCACTTTTTGTATTCCCTAAGATTTTGAGTCTTAAAATCATCTCGTACTTTTCATTCTTCCTCCTTGAATCATATTTTTCATGCCTGATATTCTCTTCTACCACTGACGTTGCTGTTACTTCAATTACTCGCTGTGTTTATGTGGTATGTGAAGTTGAACTGATCATTTACACGTGTGCCAGGTTCTACATTACTTATAACTAATGTATTATATATCAATATAAACACATAATGACTAACAGAAGAACTTACTCGAATCAATTCAAAATTAGACTCCATATCACCGAGTAATATATCCGATTGTGAAGCGCTCGCTGGAGAATCTGGACCATGATGTAGACTTGATAAGGGATTTGCACTGAAGAAAAATAAATAAATGGGCGGTCAACAACATAATTATTGGTAAAAAAAACTGAGAAGTAATGAAAACAATTAGGAATGTTTATAAAAAAGGCTATAATTACTACGGTAAAAAAACAATCAGTTATTTGAGTTACAATGATAAGAACAACAACGCAAACTGTAATTAAGCAAACAGGAATGACAATATCTTCAAAAGTACAACTTGATAAAGTCAGTGTATTATGTACATTATTTAGTACGTAACTTATTCTTGGTATCTTGGCGTCAGATGTGGTAAATTGTACCGGTACACATTTGTACCAGAGATCCTGTGTTGATAAATGATGAGAACGTGATTTCGAGAAAATTTGATGAGTTAAAAACAAACGACATAGAGATAATATGGCGAGCAAATAAAGAATGAGTCAGAACAAATAATCAGTAACAAAATCATGCCAATCAGGAGTGATTAAATTTCAGCATTGAATAACAACAATAAGGTAATACAAATTACTGCGAATAAACACTATACCGGGTGAACACATTAACAGCTATTTGAACTTAGAAGCTAAGTAAATAAATCGTTGGTGATTGAGACAACAAAGGCACCGGGTACGGGTTCGAACGTGAGCATTAACACTAGGATATAGGTACGCGCCTACACTTATTATTTTCGCCTGAACATTGTCAAAATTCTTGGCATGAGTGTGCATCATCGAGTCAAGCTGTCACACTATATGTCCACGACAAGATGAAATTATGAAGACAAATATCAGAATAGTAGTAGTAACAGTATCAACGATAATAAAAATGCCCAAACATGAACAAAATAACTCAAAAAGAAAGAACTAACTCATGGAATAAAAAGTAATAGATAATTTTAAAAGTAGCACACCAAAGAATAAACAAACATACAAGTATAGTATCGATAATATACCATGTTCATGGTCAACATATTATAAAGGAAAAAAATCATCATAGATTATTTCAGAACATATAGAATAAATCGCGTCACTCGTTGAACATAAAAAATACCATCGATCAACGTTCAATTATTTTACTCGTATTATTTCCAATAGTGATTAATAATAATAATAATAATAATAATAATAATAATAATAATATTCCACGAATAAATTTCACACGAATTCACTCTCATATTGAGTAAAACAAAAAGAACTGATTCATGAGATAAATAGAAGAGACTTAACAATGTTTTACTAATATATATATATATATATATATATAAAGAACAATGTAGCATCAGGCTAGTGTGTTACCACACCCTTTAATAAAAACAGCATCGATAAAACAGAGATAGACAAGCAATCTTGAGAGGACTAGAAATTATAATGATGGCAATAAACTCCTATTTTACTCTTAAAATGAAAAAAGTAAACGTGAACACCGCTATCCAACTAGGAACATTTTTACGATAGGTTTGACAATTATATGAGACCACTAGCTCTTGTTAGCTAGAGAATTCATGTACTTTTACAAGGTCTAAGCCTAAGGTGATAGGAACACTTTATTGAATCTAGTCATTATTTAAATCATAAGGTGCCATTCAAAGTGCAGAATAGTGAAGGACAAAACGGTGGATAACGAGATAGTTTGTTAAAGTGTGAAGTAGAGGGAAATTAGCTATTTACTAATAACTTTGAGAAAAACTAATTGAATAAAAGGTCTTTCCGGAAAATACTTGTAGTCATCCTTGCGGAGGACTCTTCGAAACTAATGGTTAGTAACATTGGGTACCAAACATGGGGCTAAAATCAACGTTACAGTGGCTCAACTAGTTATGTTCATTCACTAACTTTCACCAAATCTTGAATTAAGTAACGCTCCTTTTAACTTTACATTCCTCGGTCTAAGTGATTCCTTTTAAAAAATTGTTTTTTTCCTGCTGAAACTTTGATTGCAATTGATATGCGTTTCCCATTTCTTGCCTCTCTCATGTTGATATGCTAATCTGACATCTAGCAACTTAAACCAACACATATTTGGTGAGTAGTCTTAAGCTGATGAATGGTTGAATAAATGACAAATGGTCAAAATATCTTAAACAAACAAAGAATGGGGCTAATATATTGGAAGAAAAAGTTGAATTCCTCCATACATGTCCGTGTAAAACAAATAACATATATATTGCACCATTATTATGCTTTTTGTTTCATTAGATGTTGGTTTTGATTTATCATAACTAACTGTTCCATATTATGGACTGACTTTGGTTAGATAACCACTGAAAACTAGAAAAATCAATCCTACTATGGGACTCCTCAATACGGTACATCCATGACCTTACATAAGATCAAATCCAAGACCCTGTCTTCCTCGCGAATGCCTAACCTCTAGACCACTGAACCAGTATCATATGGTGGCCATGTTTAACTTCAACCAGCTCGACATACTGAACGACCATATCTCATTACCTGTAGTGGGTAACTATCTCACATCCGACATAGTCGGACTGCACTGGTCAGAGTTTTTCACCGGAAATCCTAGAACGTCATTTCGAAGTTATCCACTAGTGAGCGCATGATTACTATCAGTATAAGGGGTTTGTAGAGATTGCTGAATTTTTATAGTTTACATCATGAACTAATTAAGATCAGCCCGTGATGTAAACTGTGAAAACTCTATTCAACAACTTCAACAAACCCCCTATGCTAATAAATATAAAATTCACTTTAACTTAGCATTTATGTTGGTATGTAATAACCGACAATAATAATAATAATAATGATAATAGTAACAGTAATAGAACAGGTGATCATTAGTATACCATGCACACATATACACCTAAATATGATCACATTCTCACTATTAAAGATCATACTTCACATGTATTCAAAGCAATATATAATATGTATTTATGTGAGATTACAATACAATGGAAACATAATACCTATGTAACATTATATTAACAGAATATAGGAAATTGAAGAGATAGAGAAAACGGTAATTTGTAAGCATGTATATATCCCAGAATATACGTTAATTAACAACAAGCACGTCTACGTTCTCTCTCCTTTAATCGCACACTCATGAAATGACTATCTACTTAGAAATATGAATGTCAGTAAATTCGAAAGACCTTGTGAATAAATAAATGACACGTACACAGTCTGAAAACAAACAATTCCACGAAATTTCCTTAGCGACTGATTCAGCATAATGATGTAAACCATAGTTGCCAGGCCCAAATTTGTTTATTTGAAGGCCTTGGAAAATGTCTTTTTGTATATTGTTGAAAATGTGTAGACTGATGATATTATCTGATTGGTAAAACTGAGATAGTAGATGGAGCGGGATTCGAATTTGCAAGCAAACGGTGTGAATGGAAGTCTTCACTTGAGAGCCATTCAGCAAGCAAAAGTAATGCTTTTCACGCTCGATAAACAATGAAATACATTTGTTTCGCAACTATATCTTACCCACAATGCCGCCAGCCCCGAAATTAATAAATTCATTCAGTCCTACAGGTGATCAGTCACTGAGAAGTGATCAAGTTGCAATGTGGCCACTAATTCAAGTAACTCGATACCACGTGCACTATGTTTAGATATTAGATGGTTCGTAGTAGACGACAAAAAACCTAGGATCCATGTTTCATGCTATTTAATACTCGCCAACAAGGTGTACAGTAATCTTGGAGGAACTGATGCGTTCTGGTCAATTAAATCCCATATTACCCAGTCTCACAGCCTGAGACAATAATACTGAGCTGTTTTGGCAGCGACTGACCTCCTGCAAAACTGAAATATTGCAATTCCACATTTTTCCCAAACTTTTATGCAATATTCAATCATAGTTACTTTACGCTAGCTGACTTTAAAAATTTAAACAGGTCTAAAACAGAGAACACTTACAACCCCTAAAAATTACTAAGAGAAAGAGATAATTGAGCATAAGGATTTGAAGATAACCACTTATATATGGTTGAAAGATTAGAAGTTGAAAATGGTTGTCATCACAGATTTTGATATCATAATCACTATATATCAATTATGGTGGAAAGATGAGACGACGGTGAACTGGTAGGACACGTTTTTCTGAAGCTGTCTTCTATATTCTTTCGTGTCAACTGTAATAAACAACAAAATAGAACAATGTGCAGAATAACAGGAGAATGTAGGTCAGTGCGAATCGCCACATATCATGTCAAAACAGTTAGAAGAGACTAAGTTACAATAAAATCAAGGGAATGAATGATAATGACACTAATAACGGTAAACAGCTAGAACGGAAAATAAAGCAAAAGTGTACAATAGGATCCGATGTTACAGAATCAGAGGAAAATTTAAAAATCTGAATACGTCTATCTAACAGTCAATGAATATTTTGACCCATGTAAACTAACACCAGGAACCATACGATCATAACTTGACCACTACAGTACATTGAGGTCGGTGGTAGATACGTATGAATGATAGCTGCTGGTAAAAATCAACGACTTTGCTAGGCAATTAACCATTTTTATCTAGCTACTGCTCGATACACAATAAGAATATCATGTATTCAATGATACAAATACTCCTCAAGGATATCAATAACATATGTACATCTTTTATTTCCAACACGCGTTCGATCAACTAACAAGCTGCAGGCTCGAATCCCACTTGGTCTACTTCGATTTTAATAATCCAATATAGTGTCATTAAGCTTCGTTCAAATAACGTGACTTAGTCGAATACGTAAACCTGTACATAATTGGATAAATGAGTTACTATAAAATAAATATATAATAATTAGAAAATAAATTTTCGTAACAAATTATCACCACATATAACCTATGGATGAAAAAAGCAACCCTATACTTTTAAAGAAAAATCTAGAACAGTGGCACTAAGTGGTTTAACACCAAATAATTTTCATGCAATGCAATAAAGCAAAACAACCAGAATTTGTTTTTCAAACAGTGCGATTTATGAAAACGTAAACAGGAAAAATTAAATTACCGTCTATCTATATTAGATAACAAAACATTTGTGCTTATTATCAATATAGGAAGTGATTATGGAGATTGTAGAATTTCCACGAGCCGATCTTAGTCTAGAGATTGTGTCCTAGAATGAAACAAGGTTCTAGGTCTGATTCCCGTGATAGAGTCGTGCACTTCTAAGGAGTCAGACAATGGGATGAAACAGGGGCCTAGTTCTTCCTAGTTAATTACAGATGTCTAGGACCAATTCTTGAGTTAAACCGAAGATTTGTCCTTAACAATATAGTACAATCAGAAAAGAACAGACTCAAACTGAAGAGTACTGTTTTCATCTAATTTTATGTAGAAATTTAGCATCATCCACGAGATGTGGAACAAGAAAAAATTAGGACAAAAAGGTAAACCCTTATGCTTCAAGCACTATCTTTAGGGAAGAAAGTCTCTAGGAGCAGGACTATATTATAGCGACCACCTTAACATAGCCCCTTTTGTCTTCCGTCCAAAATTCAAAATGCAGTGAAGGATAGTATGTATCTTATAGAACGCTTTCTAAAATTACTTCCTAAAATGCTTAAAGTTGCTCAAAATATCTTTCCTATAATCACATAGATGTGACATTCTACATAGGCGAAATCAGAGGAAATACCTAGACTAACTCCAGATTGTATTTGAGCATACTTTGTGTGATTCATGCAATAGCCAAGGGTATTTTTGTAACTTAAAACTATTCGCTCACTTTGAAGCAATATCTCAACCTTAACCGTAACTTTAAACCCTCACAAAACTTAACCTTAACTCCTAATCACATAACTACTAACCCTAGCTCCCAGCTTTAATTCCTGCTTGTACTCAGACTCCTAATTCGCTTTTTCATCAAATTATGACTATTTACCCACCCTCGTTTTATTAACTTTTCTTATAAATCATTTTATAATTAGGCTGTTTTCTAATCGGTTGACAACCATTCAAGGTCGTCGCTACTATATGATCCTACAATCTTTAGATATCAATTGGTCAACCAACCAACATAGATCCTGGTAAATACGTGCATCTGTTCAGGTCGTCACACCTCATCATCGGAACAGTGAGATTAAATTATCTTAACAAATGTCGGGATAGTTTAAATAGCGACAGTACTAGCCATAGATAATCTGACCCGAGAAGAATGAACGAATTCGCAGGATAAAAATATAAAAGGTAACTTTAGATCTCAAGATCCGAGGTGCAACATCTGTGCTATTAGGATTGATTCTATGTCATGCTGGTCGATGTTTCAAACCATTGGTTCCGATAATCACATGGACACCAACCTTCCAACATCCCGTGAAAAAGAGATGAGAAAATATAGTATATATATTCGTTTATTTATTCATCAGAATACGCAGTTTAATTATTTCTTAAAAAATTAATTATTAAACATACCAGAAAACATTGTAGAAATACTTTTGGAGGACTTGACGACAACAACAACAACAACAGCAATGACGATGACAATGACAAACATGCGTAGTTTACCGACCAGAAAAAAATGTTATATGCATGAGACACTGTGAGACTGGAAATCCCATATATATGATGTTATGAAACCGTGTCACTACTACTACACACTGCGATACACTACATACATACTCAAATACTGGAAACACGTTAAAGGACAAGTAACTTTGTGTGATAAATGAGACTGATTGACTAATGATTCTGTGAATTAGCTATCGTCGAAAAATTCCCAACTACTCAGTGAGAATAAGATTGATTAGGAAAACCGATATAGAAAGTGAACGCTTGACAAATGAACGAAAACAATGTTTTAAAAAAGTCTTGAATAAAACTGAAAGTAAACAAAATAGCACACAAAATGAAATATAAACTTCAAGTTTTTTGTGTTTAACTTCTTAATGGTTGCTTAACTGAGGTTATTTTGTGGCGAATTCTATCATTGAAATAAGTAAATACTTAGAAACTATCAACATCTACAAAACAATATAGTAGAGGAAGGACCTTGTAACATCTGTTCATAGAAAACTTATTCAAATAATTGTAATCTACTTTGTATTACAGACTTCTTAAGTTGCACAGTCATTACAGTAAATCTAAGTAATCGTAAAAAGAGAATTCATGTACACGGATTCACGTTTTAAGGAATTCATTAGGCCAGCAGAGGTAGGTGTATTAAGCTCTAAACTAAACAACTGCTAACCTGATTGAACCGAAGTAATTACAGCGAAGTTCGAAATTGTAGCTTAACACAATCTAAAGTCAAATAATTATACAGTTCTTAATACATCTACCCAATTCGGATCAGACCGACCAATTTGATCCGGCAGAATATTTCTTGATACTTTGAATAAAAACATGCTTCTGGCTGACAAACTGTTGGAGTTGATCTACGCATCAACATTATGACTTGTTGAGGTTGTCACAGCAACAAACACTATTGTAACCTTTCACAAAATATTATTTTAGCGTGATAATGCCACCTAGTTGACACTAATTCCTATTGGTTTCTTTGTCTTGCAGAATATCAGATATACTGTAATGTTTGTTCATTTCATAGTTTTTACTTGAAACATAAAAGTTTTCCTACGAAGTCTAATCTTTTCTCTTTTTACTTGAATACAGTTGACAAACGTTGCTGTTCATTGGTCGTTCGATCTATATCCAATCGAGATAGCTTCCCTCTCTTATTAGAAGGCAGCTCACCCCTTATCCCCCACCAATCGTCGTTATTCTCGAACTCAACTCTATACAAACTACAACACGAACAAATTAAACTATACCCTATTGTATAACAGAATAATGACTGAAGAATTAAACTTATCGTCAAATAGGTGAACAGTAAGTTGATTAATGAATGAATACATGCTACAGTACATATATGAATCAAATTGTAAAATGAAAGAGAGAGGAAGTGGCTAGTGGTAGACAGAAATATATATATATATATATATATATATATATATACAAAGAGACTAAAACTCCTATTTTCCCACAGTGCACAACACTTACAGATAGCCCAAACTGTACCTAACAAATAATGAATACAGTTGAAATGATGTTGGTTCAAATGAAGTTAGTGAACAAAAAAAAAGAAATCTGTAAGATAAAAATGTTTGTTAACAATTAAAATAAATCCATCCTTATATTTAGAGTCAGTATTTATTTGACACGGATTATTCGAAAAAATTGACAGTGCATTAGTAGATAAGTTTCAAAAAGATTGAGTTTGCGTTATTTGAAATTCGTAAAAAAATAAGAATTTATTTTGTACAACTTTCAGAAATCATCTAAAATTTGTTTCTGAGAAGAGAAGCGAAGGGCCAACTATCAAAGAAAGTTTGAATATCCATTCCTCACCCCTAAAACAATAAATAGACTTTTGCACCAATCTTCTACTTGACTACTAGATCAATCAACGCGTACAATTTAATTTAGTCTGAATAATTGTTTGCTCCATTAAATTTTATACATATTCACAGGTTTACTTTCCGTGAAATGTTAAATCCTCTACAGACCCAATCATCAATTTACAAATGATAATATATTTGATAAAACAGCAAAACACATGAAACAAAGTTATATTTCTATGTTTAGAAAACGTCAGATTACATACAAATTGTTAAATATAGATAAAACAATTGGACGGAGTTGATCTGAAAAATGTGATGTATTTGCGCTACATATTTCAAACAATTTGATCACATATATATTTGTTCTTCGAAATGTATAGAGCAAATATATCACATTTTTCAGATTAAATTCGTCTTCCCATTGTTCTATAGAAATTTATAAAAGGGACTAATTGGTTTGAATTGTTAGATAGTCGAATAAAAATTTGATTAGATTACTCCGTTTACTCTAATTTAACTCACTTTACTAAGTGCTAAATTAGTGTACGCGGCTTTAAGTCCTACTTTATTTGTGAGAGCTATTGATACTAGCTGACCGCCCTAATGGGATTTTACTTTGACGTGTCCTCATTTTGTTTCTCAAGAATGAAGAGAACCAATGAGTAAGAAACTACAAAAGAGAAAAAAGTAGGAACTTACCTATGCTTTGGCCAACTGCTTCTAATCTCACCCCGTTGCAAACGGGTACTACAACTTATGTACAGCAATTTCAAGTTTTCGAAACAGGTGCAATCATCAACAATGCGGCCAAAATAGTGGTAATTATAGTAATAATAGCAATAACAGAAGTAGGCGAATAATCATCATTATTATTGATACAATGATGAAATCACCCAGCGGCAATGACAGGTATGAATCGGGTTAGACAAACATAAGCAATAATGATGATAATAATGGTAATAACAGTGATTAGATTGTGAGTTGTCGAAGGGCAATACAGCAAACAGTGTTAGAATTATTTGATTCATTTTGTTTTTAAAGAAAAACGGAAAAAAAGTCAAATATGAGGTTTAATCATAAGAATAATGAATTTTAAATTTAGGGTTAAACCATGGTACGAGTATAGTACTTAGTGAACAAAGCTATCACTGTACTTAACAGTGATAAAAAGTAAACTACCTGGATGAGAAACTATAGTTAAGTTAGAAACAAATAAATAAATAAATACATTTCAATTAAGCTGTAATATATATATGATTTAGTATGATTCATGAAGTTACAATATATTGTCTCAAAATCTGTTATTCGCTTGAGTATTTTGGGCAGGATTGTACAGGCTGAACATGCTATTTTCCAAGAGTATTCACTTGATTATGTCAAACGCTTGTCAAATCCACACTTCCTGTATCCCCAAAAATTGGTTTTGACTTCAGTAAAGTAAATCAAGATGATCTATTTGACAATATACTCATTCCTTGATACCCAAACGAATATACGTTTCACACAAGATATGATGTGAGTAAACAACGATTAGGTGAGCTATATTTATCATTATAGAAATTACCAGATTACGATACAAAAGGTGTTGATATCTCAAGCTATAAAGTTGCTTTTTAGACATTTTAATAAATAAGAAAATGCAAGTCGCTGAAGCAAGTTGCTTTTTGCGTTACATATGGTGAATAAACTCGCAGTTACGGTTCCAATAATAAATTTCAGTTTGCACTCTTCATCTAATGAGTACTTCATGTATCACGTAATAATGAGTATCGGCACAATGGTGAATTGGCTGTGAAAAATTCGACTCCACCAACCTATGAAACACAACACATTTATAATGGTAGACAGTGAAGAATATGCTGATTATTGATCAGACTATATGGAGCAGAACAGGATAAGATAGCGTTGATGGATCTACTCATTTCATAATTATTTTCCTAAATCGTGGTTTTTTTCATTACTTGTTGTTACTAGTTTTCTTTTTATTACCCAAACTTATCTATGAGAGATAAAATCTAACCCATCTCTTTAGAACTCCAATATTCCTTCAGTGAACCAAACACCGATCAAGTAATTAAATAATTACTTCGTGAAATTAGGTAATGGTATGAAAAAGATATTCTTATCGTAATATGACTTATTCGCACAATAACATCAACTAAAACACACTTTTACTAAAGCCGGAAATTAAACATAAAAGAACCATGGAAAAAACAACACGAGAGACAAACACATTAGCCTACTTGTTTGGTCCATCGGCGCTTAAGGCAGAGTCAGTGTCAATATCAAATAAAGTTGGATCGTGCATATGCACACCACTATCATCAGTCTGAAATTCAAAAAAATATAACTACAACTAGTAACTGTCTAAAACTAAAGTCAATCACATAGTGTAATAAACAACAACGAAATCAATTTCAATCATAAGTGATTTTTAAAATGTGATTGTGAACTTGTATCATCTGAAGTGACTGGGGTCACTTGTTCTTGTTCAGATAAACATGTTTTTTTAGCTGCAAAATATAGTAAAATGGACAAATGCGGGGCTATGTCTTGAGTATGACTAAGTCCTTGGGGAAACTTAAGTTCAACCTGATAACAGTGGATTCCCACAAGTTATCCGAAAATCCCATCCTTCTAAAATTAATATCACATTAAATAAGGATGGCCAAATATATATATATATATATATATATATATATATATATATATATATATATATATATATATATATATATATATCATTGTGGAGATAATCAGAGTTTGCAACACTACATTTTAAACCCTACACTAAATATAATACACACTTTATATATCATATATATATACCATTCTAATAACAATACGGATCCGGTTACCTTGTCATAAACAACAAACTTCGAAGCTTATATCCTTTAGTTTGAAGCTCAATGCACAATCTTCTTTTCATGTTATCATAGTAAAGATTATGATATCTGAGAAATCTCAAGATTTCATCACCGGCAGCGGAATCATCAAACAGAATCACTGTTTGAATAATATACCTCTGTTATTTACAGTTGAACAAAGTGTTCCTTATAAACAGAATTGCATGACCAGTGAGCATTTAATTAGTTTCCATAACAATACTTCATGAATATTATGAGACGAATAAGTAATCTTGTTACGCGTACAGTACTAGGTAAGTCTCAAATTGGTAAATTTCCAAACCTGCATTGGGTAACATCGTTGGGAGACATGTTGAACACAGAGGTTCAACGCTCATTAAGAAGCCTTACGCTGACTAACATACGAGTCGGTTGAAAAAGCTTTAAGGAAGGCCAAGCAAAGACATGTCATCAGTCCATGAAGCTACAGAATATCGGACTGTCATGTGCCTTGATTTATATACTTTATGGTTTAAGACATAATCTTTCATCTAATCTGAAGACCTTGAATCAGACACAGTAGTATAGATATACTCAATTACTACTTTCCGGTATTATTTCGTAACTCTGGACTACTTAATCATTTTCTTCACTCCTGAAATATAGCCTTTTGGCCTATGGGTGTCGCCATTAATTTACTTTTTTTTATAGTTAAGAAAACTAACAGTTAACTAAAGTATAAGTAAGGTGTATTTGTATTACGCTAATATGATTTTTATTTGTTTTTAACATGTACAAGAATGGGAATAAAAAGCGTAAGTAGATCAAACAATTGTCTGAGAAATTGTATGATCAATGAGTAATGAGCAAATTCACTAATAACACACACAACGTATTCAGTAGCGTCACAGGCTATACGTACAGCACACAACAGACAACAATATGAGGACAAAACGTACCTTGTTCTCCAAACCGTCTGAAAGGAAGCTCGACCTTACAGATGCGTTTTGCCCATCTGAATTCCTAGATAGAGAATTTGAGTGCTTTGATGTACTGTCTTCATCAACTAATTGTATATTATTGAGATGAAAAGCACCTTACAGTTTACGTTTCCCTCAAAAGCCTTCTTAAAATCTTCATAATGTATGATTCCGTCATTTTCTGGATCTAAAGTCTGCACTACTTTCATGATATCCTGTACACGTATTAATAGGTTAGAAAAAGCAATTACGTTCGAAGAAAGTGATGATCGCCTTTCTCCATCAGCTCCACTTGAATTATAAAATTCTTTAAAAGTTGATACGAATTGCTCCACAGTAATATATCCCTTATTTTCCGTGTCCAAGGCTTTAAAAACTAGAACTAGAGGATCATCCGTCATTTCCATTGCCTTATTTGGAATACGTAACCCAACAAATCAAACTGACGCACTGAGTCAGTGCATCAATTCAATTTTCAATATCAGCAACATCTTTATCACAAGCTTGTATAAAGCAGTTGATTTTTTTAGCTGGATTCTACCTGTTTTTGTATCCTTACCGATATTTGTTGAGGACAGCTGAATAGTGTTCTAGCCACTCTAGTGGTCTGTTTCAAGTCCGTTTGGTAGTTATTTTTTATTTATATGTCTTGTAGTTTATGCTTGTGTTTGTCCCAGAGAAAAAGAGTTTCGGGATACCAGAAGATAACAAATTACCAGTCAATAGGTTGACTTAAGTCAATGTGAATATAGTAAAGTGATAATTCAACCTCTGAGAGATTACTGTTCCAAGAACAAACAAATAATTTGCGTAATTGATAATGTATAAGGAGACGGAGTTAGGAGAGTAAGAAGAACAACAAGAGCGAAATCAACCGAAATGAGGAGTAATTAACGATATGTAGCCCAACGAGAAAAATCCCAGGGTTGCAGTCTGTCGTAAGATTCATGTTTTAGGCCTATCACCCACTTGGTTCCACGTCTCATCACTTGGTCCTAGATATTTGCGTCTCTTTTGAAAAAAGAGGATGCCATGACATTGTGAACTTTAAGGTGAGGACTTGTTCACGTTTTACATAGTACTAAGAAAGCCCTGATATGGTTACGCACAACTGTTCTTACATAAACTAGTGAGTTGCGTTTTGCTTGTTTGCATCTTCCATGTAGTTTGGGCCGGTGTCTTAGTTCTCCGTGATTCCAAGCCCCAAACCACGCTCTAAGGAAACGATCGGGAGCGGATTTGCGTTGATGGTGTAAGTGGTTTGTGTAAGATCCATTTTGAATGTTTTGTGTGTTTGTGAAAATCCCTCCATGTATATAATTGCACTTTGTTCCTATTGATCACCTTAGTTGTACACTGTTGTCTTTTGATAACATTTGAATCGTTAATACTTGTATTTTTTTATTATAGGTTTTGTTTTCCTTACGCATTCACTAAGTTTGTGTTCCTTCCTGAACTGCATCTGTGTTGTTTTACTTGACACTTGTTCTTGGCGGTAGCCATAATGATTTGCTCCTCCTTTTGTGTGTTCTATCCAGTCAGGATAGAATAACGTTCATTTGTTGTGACTGGTAATTTTCCCTCTTCTTCTATCAACTTCTTTATTCATTGTAATTTAGATTTTATTGATTGAACAATTATTGGTTGAATAGCCGGGTGGTAATATTTGTTTAGGTAACGATTTACATTTAAATTTATGATGAATTATAGAACCGGTATTTACCCGACTACTTGTTTTGATTTTGACGGGAAAGGGCGTGTGTCTAACGTACCTGGAAGGCTATTCAGCAGTCCAAACCGTAGTTTGGATCTTACACTCAGGCATCTTCCTAGAGATTCTACATTTCTGAGCTTGGGTAAGCGCGTATTGTAGGAGATCTTATCAAAAGCTTTGACAAAGTCGACTAGAATAGCATATACGGGTTTTACAATGCTGAGCAACTGGACACTGCTAGCAGAAGATCTGTCACCCATGACAAGCCTTTCCGAAAATATTATTTTTCACTGTATAACACATTTCCATTGTACTCTCGAATATTTGTAACACAAAAGTCGTAGAGTTAAGCAGTGTAGAGCTTAATGGATATTTGATGAGCTCTGTATTATATATTAGGGTGGCCGTTGCATCCTTTTAATACGATGGTGATCTGCCCTAGCTGAGCGACATTTCGATTATAGTTGCTAGCGCGGCAGCAACGCACATCGGGAGTTATCTCAGCGGTCGGTAATGTAGTTCATCCGGTCCAGTTCATTTTACTGTACTCAAAGAACTCAACGCTTTAGTATTTTGTAGCTAAGGTCCAAGTTGAGTAAGTGATATAATGACGTTGCTTTTAACCCTAGCTCTTAATTTAACATATGCTCATGGGATAAAAGAAAAGCTGGGAAAACCATTATGGCAAGTAGTTGGTAAAAAATCGAAGAAACAGCGGCTTCAACATTCCAGAGGTTCCTTCGCCACTGGAAGCACCAGATGTTGGTGTGCGTGAGGAGCACCTATAGATGTCAACCCACTAACTAAAGAAAGACCTTAGAAAGTGTGAGAACTATAGTTTATAACCCTAATGTTCGTACCGAGAAACGTTTTCGACAAAGTGATTGTGAACTAATTGAAAGACTCAATAGAATATCGACAATGAGACCAACAAGATTGATTATCTACCGACTGAGATGCGACACGAAGGATTGATTTTGCGCAATCGGTTGGATGGGACTAATCAATTTACTGTAATAAGAAGACGAAGATTATCTTCGTCTTCGTATTACATTGTCGTAACCACTATACATCAAATTCCATGATTATAAGAGATTTCTCATCAGTGTAGATAGGAGACTTAACTCAAAGTCCTTCATGAAGGAAAACTGACAGATGCAGATGTGAATGAACAGGTAGCCAAAAAAGGGCAACATCCCTATAAATGGAGAATATCCGAAAATCAAAACAACTGTCAAGCAACACCAGATTCCACATTTTTAGTAAAAAATGTCAATACCGTTCTATTGCATGGAGCTGAAACTTAGAGAACTACTACAACCATCATCCAGAAAATATACGTACTTGTAAAAACCTCTCTACACAAGTTACTTCAGATTCGTTGGTTGGATATGTTAAGCAACAACCCACTATGACAGAGAACAATCCAGATGCCAGCTGAATAGGAAAATAAAAAAAGGAGCTAGAGATGGATAGGACATTGTGATATTTAGAAGTATTAGAATTATTGTGCGAACTAGGAATCCCCTAAATAGTGCAAGTTACGAAGAATAAAACTAGGTGAACACAGATGAACGTATTTTATTTTAAATTAGAAATCAGGCATTCATCAAGTACAAAAGAATCATCAGTTCATACGAACACCACAGTCACGCTCTGCGGAAATCACCAATCTGCAACACGAGATAAGCCTGAACTTGGTATCCTGACAGCAAGAGTAGAAAAGACAGATCAAAGAACATGTTTCGCCAAAAATTGGAGTTAAACATCAATAGAATGAAAAGCATTTAGCAACAACTGGAAAGAAGAGTCGAGAAAAAAGTTGGTTAGCGACTCCTGGCCTATGATGTATGTCAGACGAGGCGTAACAGGCGTAAGTAATTAGTAAGTTGTATGGTCGCGTACTACAAAGATGCATACAATTATAGAAATAAATTAACACTGAATTATAGCGTTTCCTATCAGTTGATCCAAAGGGATCTATAATGGTCAATAAATTACAAGAAGAGGTAATGAACAGTTGCACCAAATTGTTATGAATTTAAATTGTTGTCGATTTCTACCCTGTGTTATCGGTCGATTACAATGACACGCAAACACGTACGGACGGCCTAGAGTCTCGATTGGTCCCACTTCCCTGTCTAGCCCAGTCAGTTGAGTCCAGAACACAAGTCACAGCCTCGGGGATATGAATCACTATATTTCAAACATACTTTGTTTATATACCAGTCAAGCATACCACAGCGTACCATAAAAATAGAAAACAACATTTTGTACAAGTGAACAGATATCGACCAATAGGAAATGTCCATTTAAAGTCCAAGGACACCATTGAACTTAACATGATAATTATTGGTCTATTCCTGCGCATCCACAACACAAATAAAATAAAGCAAAATAAGCAACTGAAGCAAGAGATCGTTACAGCCACAACACATATGGACTAAATGACCACGACTAAACCTCATGACGTCTTAGTCATTCGTACGAAGTGAACGATAAATTATCACAATCGGTTGTAAGGAGTCAAATTGATATCCAAAACTCATACTGTAATGTTGGACACAAAAATCACAAGTAAGAAAGAGAATTATTTACTTTGAACTAGCTCAATAAAAGAAACTGGACAAGATGAATAAGAAATAGAAGAAACTACGATAATATGAAAGAAGTAATGCTCGAAAAAACTTCTTACACATTCTAAGTGCTATCAACAACGTCCTACTACATACAATTTTCAATGCCTTTATATACTGTACGAATGATGTAAAATTAACATATGAAATCCAGATTTACGAAATCCCGGGTTATACAATAAAACAAGTATGCGAGACCGAATATATGCCAGACATATTCTGAACCAGAACATCGACTGAGTACATTGACAAGAGCGTGGATGGTCAGGCCAGCTTTCGCCAAGGTTGACTGAAGTCGACGGTACCAAACTGGTGATGATCGGAGGCGTGGGCTCAGAATATAAAAAAGTCAAAAAAGGGAAAACGTGTAGTATGCATGTAGTATAGGAATAGTCCTACACCGTATCCGTTGATTGCGCGGTTAGTCGCGAAAGCGTACGGGTATGCACACTCAGCGACCAGAACGTGAGACGGTAATCTCGTTTGTGCTTGGTGAACCCACAACCTCATCCGAAGTCAAGGGTAGCGTGGTCTGCTGACCTGGACGTGAGACCGAAGTCTCGTTCGTAGATGGTGCAGATGACACGTGCTGTTGACCGGGACGTGAGAATGAGGTCTCTGATGTATCTAGCGTGTGACCTGAAGTAGATGTAGGTATCCCGCTAGTATGTTTGATAGGTCTAGCATTGAGTCTCAAGTTATCGAGTAGGGCACTGTCATCGACGTGTGCTGGTTTGAGACGACCAATGCTGACGATCTCGACGCGGCCATGTCGACCAACTTTGAAGGTCATTTCGTCACGAGAAATCACGTGAAAAGGTCCTTCATAAGGATGTTGTAGTGATTTGCGTGCCGAATCTACTCGTATGAAAACATGTGAACAGGTAGATAACTTTTGAGGGAGAGCGACCTCTTGACGTTGTACAAGTTCAGCGGCGGAACATCGGATATCTGCCTTCAAGCTCGTTCTGATACCTAAGAAGACGAGCGGTAAGGTTTCGTACCAATTTTTGTTTTCATGTGCTCTCATAGCACTTTTAAGTTGGCGGTGAAACCGTTCAACTAAACCACTTGATGCTGGGTGGTAGGCGGTTGTGCGTATGTGTTCCGTACCAAGTAGCCGGGTCAGTGAGAAGAATAATGCGGACTCCAATTTTTGTCCTCTGTCAGTCGTGCCAGTCGAGGGACAACCATACAGAGCTATCCATCGTTCTACGAAGCGGTGAGCAACTGTCTCCG